AAGAAAGGAATAATGAAATTCAGCAAAGAGCTCAAAGTCAAACATTTCTCCTCCAACAAAGACATTTAAATTACCACTATTTGCTAACAAAGACTAAGGAAATATCAGGATCTATAAAGTAACTGAAAAATAAAGGTTGAGGTGGGTCCTCTTTTATTCCATTTTTCTGTCCTGCAACTCACTATAGCATTCGCCTTTTGTGTAACATATGTAACTTGTGTTCAACTTGAGATCCAAAATAACCCACACATTTTCTTCCTAAGAATGGCTACTCAATCACAAGCCTCACATTCTGCATTTGTGCATTCAATTACTCTTACTGAAATGTAGGACTTCACATTTTTTTTTCTGAACTTTCCTTTTTTATTTCAGATCTCAGTATCTGCATTTTGTTCAAATAATTTTAAACTCTAGCTTCACCTATTACACACGCCATCTAAGACACACTTACGTGCACTCAACAAAGATACAACTGCTGCTATCTCTTTGCAAGGACTTCAGACAAACGTCCTAACCACTTGTCTTAATTATTTGCAAAATTACAGTTCAAATCTTCTCTTTCTTTCTGGAAACTGAAAGCTCCTCCTGCTGGCCTTTTGTTGAACTAAAGACAAACCAAAATAAATACTTGCCAAACCAAGGAAATAAAAAAATGCAACAATACCATTATTGGTATTTTAGTATCTTTCAGTATTTGGTGTTGAGACAAACAAAGCTAAGAAAAACCTCACTCTACAGGAAGCATAGAATAAAAGATAACTCCAAGGATTTGCCTAAAAGAAACAGATTATCCACACTATCAGAAAGAGAGAGTGTGAAATTGGATTTTTTCTTTGCACGGCAAACAATCTGCTGCTCTGACATAAAAACAGTGATTATTAATTATTTTCCTACTGCAGTTGAGGAATAAAACAAGCTAAAATATCAACTACAAAGGTAAGAAGTCCAAAAATTACTCACAGTCACAAACGTTACTGATTACTTTTCTCACATAAAACTACCCTGAGAAACTACCAGAATTTTAGTCATAGGTTTTTATTACTTCTGATCAGATGCGATTTGCATAAAGAACTGAAAGTTGGCTTTATTGCTCAAAAAATAAACTTTATGGGGTAACTATTCAACTTTGGTGGGGTTAAAAAAACACAACATGTTAACAGCCAAGAGTAGACTTGCAAAGCTCTACTTGAAAAGTAGTATTTCTCCATCGCACATCTCTTCAGCAGAAGTTCAAAGCAAATTTCCAGATTACTTATTTGAGTCAGACACAGTTTGAGCCAGCAGATTGTACAAAGTTAGATAATCTTGTAATTATTTCAAGTGACTATTGACTACAAGAGAGACATAAGAGATGTGTTAGTTAAAAGTCATGTATACATAGATGAACATCCAGATTAACGCAGTAAAGCCAGCAAGTATCTATCAGTAGTGATACCCTCAGAATGGGGAATTAATTTACTGCTTGAAGTTCACCTGAAAGTCTGAACTCAAACATTAGCACTGCTCCAGTTTTCTGAGATTGCCAAATATTTCAGAGTTTGAGAAGAACAAATAGCAGCAGAATAATACCATCACCCAGCTCTTAATACCTTGCATCCAACTTACGTGCTCCTTAAAAGGATTTCAGAATTCACTGCCCTTATTTTTTTTTCTCCACTACTCCTCACAGCCTTGGGAAAAAAGTCATTTTAAAAAAAAAAACCAACAAACCACCACCCCAAAACCAAAGCTCTACATTGTAGGAAGAGAGAGGTCAGTCCCGTCAGTCCCAAATTACATTAAATAAACCAAGCAAACAATTTTCAGTTCAGTGAGCTAACCTTTCATTCTAATGAGATCCAAAATAAAAGCTTAATTTATGCACATCTTCTGGATACTCCCTGGTGTTGCAAAGTTTTCAACAGTCTTTGGAAGCTAATTTATCACTGACTGCATTGACATCGTAACTGAAGTCCCCGTAATACACCATTAAGGTCAGCCTTTAAAGATGACTCATCTCTCTAGGTCACTCCCCATGTTCTGCAACCAACCTTCACTAGAACCCCGTTCCATTTGCAGATGAGTCAACACATTCTTAATCCTACCTTTTGATTTATCAGTAACTCAAACTGGTAATTGCGTTTTCCACTTCAATGAGCTAGATAAACTCAGAAATTTTCCTATCTGCTTTCCTAGTTTGGAACTGCCAGATTGTTTATTAAACCACTATAAATAGCTGCAAACTTCAGAAAAGCAAAAGCACTATTTAGATGGCCAAAATCTTTTTGAGACAAATTAATTCAACCTTGCTGATAACAAGTCCCTACTTGTTCACTGAATACCTATTCTCTTTTTCTCCACTCGTTATCAAGTCTGCCAAATCAACCCTCCTAGTCCTATTCCCTCCAGATCCTTTCCCTTCTGGTTATGTGAGGCAGGAACTTTCCAGGGTGGCATTTCAGAGAAAGTTTTCTCTTCTCAGGCACAGCATAGAGTTGAGCCTAGAGCTCCCAGATCATGCATCTTCTCTTTCAGTATGGTCAGCAGAGTGCACTGCATGCAAGAACGGAGTTTTCACAGGAAAGGAAAGATATGGCACATCCAGGGCAAGTTACATTACTTATTCCCTCATTATCTATACCGGTGACCTGCAGTGAAAATAATGCTCCCCCCCTCAAAACTTCCTCCAGCATTCGCCACTTGTCACTCCAATTCATCTAGCTCAGCAGTTCTGATAAATAAGCCAGTCGCCAGCCACTATCACTGCTCAATTAAACAGCCATGTCAACAAGGAGAGATTAATTACTCTGGGACTTTGAAGACCTCCAAGACCTTTAGCAAGATATAAGAAGAAAGAGATGATAAGCAAAATTGTCCAAGTGCTCTACATACCCACTCCTCAGCAGAGGAAAGGGTAAGCAACGAATTATTAAAAATACAGTAACCAAAAATAAAGATTACTTCAATACTTTTCTTGAAAAATACACATAAGCCTGTGGTACTCATTACTTTACGATATCATTCAGGCCCTGAGTTTAGTAACAAAGTCAGATCTAGCATTTAAACATGTAACATCTATGCATGCATAAGATATGCAAATAAGATGCAAACCACAGTTTTCCAGAATATTTTTCATTTTCTTTTTGAAGCAGCAGATGCTGGCAGTCACCACCACAGCCAGGAACACTGGAACTGATCATGAGCAAAACACCCAAGATCTTGTGCTGTTGCAGTTAATATAATGTACAGAATATGCTTTGAACTGGAATGTTGTATGTATAAAGAGCCACCAGTAAGTGGACTGACTTACTAAGTCCACCAGTAAGTGGACTTACTGGACAAGAGGTAAAAAAAAAGACTTTAATTATTATGCAAGCTATTTTTAAAACTCTTAGAATTTGTAATACTCTTAACCTCATCTTGTACAACTGAGGCTTGTGTTCTGGAGTACTGCATATTCCTCATTTGTCCTATAGTTCTAACAGTCAAGGAGTTCTGTCACATTACATCAAAAGCAAGCAGAATGTCTTGCATTATGAAAAATACATCTCGACAAGCAAATTTCAAGTATTAACGCCCAATTTTGCCAATTTAAAAGGGCAGGAAAAACCCTTTAGATTACCCTATCGAGATAATAAGTAAATATCTAGTCCTCTTTACACAAAAGGATATTTTTAAAGACCTGTCTAGGTTTCACCGTAATCAATTATCACCAACAACTGCCCTCAGATTAGGAATTTAAAAGCAAATAAATTATACTTGTCCAACATAACATTACTCCCTCAAGCTAACCTGACCTTTAATGACAAACACACTTCCAAAACCAAAAAACCATAAGCACAGATAGAGTTAAGCCCTGTTAGTTTCAGACCCCAAACTTAGAAGTGCTGTGTGCAAACACTGGCAAGTACACAGCATTCTAAAGTCAGCAGAGGAAAAAATACCCATTTCATGAACATACCGCCCTTACCAGTTACTCCTCCGTTTGCCTCCCGAGCCTAAGCAAATAGGAAAAAATTACAATAACCTCACCACACTAAGTTCAAAGGCCCAAAGCTCAAGTCCCTCATCTTACAAGGCCAGGCAGGGAGGTAAGGGACTCAGCGCAGCGGGAAGGGCGGATCTCGATGGAGCGACAGCCGCGGGCCGGGCACGGCAGGCCAACACCGCCACCCGCCGGCGGGAGCGCAGTCCCGGCCCGGCCACACGCACCAAAAAAAAGGAAAAAAAAATATCGCTAATGCGAATACGATCGTCCTCGGCCATAAAACTACGTTGTCAATCGTGTTACCGGCTGACCAACGTCAGGAAAATTGACAAGTGTTACAAGAGACGTGTGCAGGAGTAATCACCGTTTTCCTGTCGCTCAGCCTAAAAAGCACGGGGAAAAAAAAAGCGAAACATGAGTCATCATTGGGCTGCTATAAAGATACTATATAACTTCCCACGTACAGGGAAGTCACCTAAAGACGTTATAAACAACTTTAAACTTACAACGGGAACCCCAAGAAGCAAATTATTCATTAAATCCTATAAAACACACACGGTGTAATACAAACCCGGTAAAACAGCACTCTTCACGGCCTACAGAAAATAATGGCAATCCCATGAAACATTACACCCAAGTACAGAGACCAAGGAATGGGAGTGGTAGTAAAAAAAAAAAGAAAAAAAATCACCACCTATCTTGTTGCAGAGTAAGAAACACAACCCGTATATGTACAATAGTTATGTGTTTTTTTTTTTTAACATTAGGTACAAAAACGTTTAACCAACGATAAAAGCAAAACCAAAAAAAACCCATTACTGCTTCTTTTAGGACAGAGGAATAGAAACAAGAAAATGTTAACCAACCCCTCCTAAAATTTCTGAATTTCCCTTTGTGAGGGGAGGGATAAAAACTGGTATAAACGTAGTTTTATTTCTGCTCGTATCTGATTAAAAAGTAATCCGGAGCTTTGTACCTCCCTACCATGATGAATCATGGTCTTCCCGTACCAAGCACCGCCGACCAGCCTTACCTTAAAATTACTAGAGTTGACCCATCCTGTTAATTCGTCGATCACTTTGTCAAGGCGCTGCTGGTCCTGCTCCACATCGGGGGACCTGGCCGGGTCGCTCAGGTACTCCAGCAGCTCCTGGCCGACCTGCATCCTGCGGCCCACGTCCTTCTGCTGTACCTGGTCGCAGAAATAATCCATACCGGCAGGCTCCATCCTCGCC